TTAAATTTTATTTAATTTAGTAATTCAAATATTATCTTTAGTCACATACAAAAAACTAAATAAACAAATTGTTAAGTAACTTTTAAAACCTGAACTTGGATATAATGTTTATTTTTTTTGCTGTCTTCTATAATTAATTTGAGCAGGGTTACCTTCTTCCATTTTTATGACTTGACATTGCTTTGTTCATACGCTTGTGAATAAAAATGTACCTCGATTCTGTTGTGTTTCCGTAATATTTGAAAATAATTATTTTATTTTAAATTAAAAAGATTTCGGAATTGTATAATATTTATTTTCTTTTAAGCTTGCCAAACTGTGGTTCACAAGAAATGTCATGAGAAATTGTTGGGCAAATGTTCGGGATCCGTTTTTAATTCAGCAAGTACAATTGTAAGTACACTTAGGTCATTTAAGTATTTATTAAATAAGAATAAGAATTCATATATAATAAATCATTTCACATTTCACAATCATTTCACAGCAAAAATTCTGCAAACCTTTTTAATATGAATTGTAATTTAACGTCAGTTATGACGGAAGTGACTATAACATTTCATAGAAACTACAACATAGAAACTAGTATATTTGGTAGAGAAGTGGTAAACTATTATTATAATATTACATATTTATTGTTTTATTAATAATAAATATATATTATTTTAATTAATTGAATTTTTGGCTGTTTCGAATATTGCCAAATACCCATCATCAATGATCTTGGAATTATTTCTTAAACTGAATTATTCGTAAATAATTTTAAAAATGCAAGTACCAATGGTTGAACTCATACCCTGCCAAATTTAAAGCTCAGAGTCAGCGTTCATTAGCCAACTGACTCAAAGCCGTCAGTTATATATCACAGCAAACCTTTTTATAATTCGCAATGTAATGATAGTTGAACACATTTGATTTTAGTATATATAACGAGTTTTTCAGGAATAAATGATATATTTATTATATATATTTTATTATTAGGATAAAATCATTAAACCACACTTTGCAATATGCTTTAAGGTTTTTCATATATACTTTTCCTTCGTACCCTGTATTTTGATATTTATCAACATTGATTTTTTTCGTTTATTACACCAAGTAGCTTTTAATGCATGCTTGCCAGTTAAGAAATCTAATAAATAGACTTGCCTCTCAATAAATAAATAGCCTTATCTGTTGATAATACTAAGCGGTAACGAAGATACATCGATAGCAAGTCAAGAAGGAATAGACAAAGGAAGAAAAGAAAGCCATAAATAGAAATACTAAGCACATTTCAAATTTTTTAAGTCCAAAGTCTTATACTACAAGCTAAACACGTACAAAAACAATACTCTAAGAAAACCTATTACAAACAATACATATTAAGTCTGAACACTGAAGAGTAGGGACAGAAAAATTTATAGGGCCCTATCTAGAAAGAAGATAGTTTATATCGAATGGACTGCAGTAGTGTGATATAAACAGAAAGAGTAATAAAAGGCATGATATAGTTAAACCACGTAGCAAAAATGAGAGAACAGTAGAAATCAGAGTGCCCGATTTGAACTCCAATTTTTCATGCGGGTCGATTTGACAACGAATTTCAGTAGACTCAGCGACTTTAACCAACTTTTTCCACTCGGCATATAGATATAGTTTACATATCGGGACTTAAAGTTGTTCATTTTTTACATTAGTTTTATTAACAAAAAGTACACACGTCATGATTTCTAAATTGATGACCGATATCTCGAAAACGAAGCTATATATAGTAGAGTCGAAAAGGTTTTGATAAAATTACTTTACTAAAATCAGTTGTCAAATGATTAAACTATACCGTTGAAAACTTTCTCAATTTGTTAACCCGAAATGTGAACTAATCCCTAAATGCTAACCAATCTGATACAATATTAGATACCATTTCACTTAACATCAAATAGTTTAACTACTATAAATATTATATAGTATTTAATATATAATATAAAATATTAGTACTGTCATCTATTCATTTTTGAAAAAAAAAACTATTATTTTATATTGCGATACACAATGTGCATGATATATCGGATAATAAATAAATTATTAATCAAAAAATAATTAGGAATTAATGTTATTTTAATTATTTGCAGTTGTTGCGCGAAAGATTCAAAATAGATTTACCGCACCGCTTTAAGCCCTACACTTTTATGTCACCAACTTTCTGTGATCATTGTGGGTCTCTAATGGGAGGATTTTTCATACAAGGTTTGAAGTGTGAAGGTAAGTTAGAGTTCACAATTTTCTTATTAACATTAACGTTTGATTTCAAAACATAATTAATTAATTATTAATTAAATTAAAAATTCCTTCCGATTGTCTTTGGTACACGCTTATGTTTTGCATGTTGCAGCAACATGTTGAGAGCATTGAAGAATTTGGTTAGACTTTTCGGTGACCTCTAGCTGTGCCTAGCAGCAAAAGCAGAACTTTATTTTATAAATTGCATTTGTGTGAATTTGTGTACTCCTTTTGTGCGCCATCTAGCGTTAAGTGGAGAATTGAGAAAAAAGATTTTTATTGTGAACAGTCAAAAAATATTTAGTTAATACACAAACCACACTAATGTTTAGATACATTTAATGTTGATTGAAAGTGTTAACCAAACATGTTACATATTTTTGTATGAATCATATGCATAAAAATGTTTAGAAGCACATAAATGTATATAAGCCACAAACTTCATCCTAATTATTTTAATTATTAATTTTAATAATTTTAATTTTAAATTATTTTAAGAAGTATTTTTCTGACTGAAGTAAAAATACAAAATAAATATAAATGATTATCAAATTCTTTTCAACAAATAACCGTGAGAAGTAGTAACAATTTAAATTAGCAAAAAAAAGTTACACCTCGTGTGAAGGAATTGTGTTATTATTATTTAATATTGACTCAAAAAATTATAGAATTTTACTTAAAATCTAAATTGACAATAACATATTTGTTGCGTGCCACATTGGCATACGAAAAACCGGTGCATATAATTGACATTATTATCCATCAATAAATAAATTCATCAATAATTAAACTTCTTTAACTTAAAACACTTTCCACAAATTTGTATAGGTTTTAAATATTGCTACCGTTTAACAAGACTTTCAATTCTTCTTCGGATAGAAGTGCTTCATCAAAAAACATATATCTATGTTCTCTGAAAATCGGACATTCATCAATAATATGATATATATTTTCTATCTCATGACGATTACACAAAGAACAATCACATTCAGATATATTAAATTCTCTATCGTTCAGTTTAAAAAGACCGCCTATACATTTTTAAAGTAGGCTCGATATCTGCTGAGTGTTTTCGTAATAAAAATTATACATAATATCATATTGCAGGTATGGGTACCTAGTATTCTCGATAAAAGAATGGTGTACACTTCGTTTGTATAAAGTTATAATATAATTGTGTAATAATTTGATATCTATACTCGCATACTAGTTAATGAAAGACCCAGATCTGAACATATGTTATCTCAATCTCTGGCCCAATATATTGCTTTGTCAATTGTAAGTTCATCCAGTATTCGAGGAAGCCTTGTGGTGGGGAAGGTATTGTGTTCACTAATTATTTAAAAACTTAGTTTGGACGACTTAAAAAAGGAATTTGGTTTCTGTGTTCCTTACTAGATGTAAATAGATTTCCATTTAATAATATTTATCAAATGTTGCTGATAACAAATTGCCTGATCGTGTTAAGCAACTGGTATTAATAAAAATTGCTACTGAAAAGTACTGCAAAGCCTAAATACCTTCTTGGTGTACTAAGTTAGCAGTTCTAGCTCTGCCTAAACTAAGATCTTTTGCTAATTTTTTTTATTCGCTATTTAAATTAAAAATATAATTCACACAAACAATGTTTTTGTTTATATAAAATTTGCTAAAAGTTTATTCTTCAATGAAAACCACGCAGTCGTAATTTTCTTTCAATTTCAAATGAATTCAAATTAGTTTATAACAAATAAAAAAACTTACTCATAATTATTTTAAAATAAATAGAACATTATCTGTTTTTTAAACTAAACTTTCTCCTACTCACATTCGGTAAATATTTATTTTTCGGAACACGTAATAACAATAAAATAGTGAAAAAAAACAGAAGATTAAAATAAATTAATTTTAAATTTAAACAATTGATGGAAATTATTTTTTTAAAATCACTGATCACTAAATCACTATTCAATTAATTAATTGCATTTTTACGCTGACCATACACCTGTTTTGAATACTGCCAAATACCCATCCTAAGCATGTTTTGATTTTATTAGGCCCAATATAGTTCCCTTTCCCATGAAATCACCATTGTGATTGGACGCTGTGTTATTGACAGGAATTTCTTTCAATCACTACTGTTCTAGCTGTGGATCAGAAGAAGAAGAAAAATGTGTCTAGCTCTCATCAGAAGACGTATTCCTACTTTAATAAATTTTTCCAAAAATATCTGTCCGATATCGCTAATTATCCGTTTGATTAAAATTACAATATGGCACATAACATAATATGACGACTGATATATTTATAGAATCTCAATGCCGGACTCAAATGCTGAACTCAAATACTGGATTCAAATATTGTGTCCCAAATTTAATACTATATTCGATGTATACATTGTTTCCAAACTAAATTTATAGATGCTTACCTTAAATTAGACCTTTAGATTAGATTTTAAGATGGGTTGGGAACTTGTGACCACGTCACTGCACCCTTTGAGGATTATTGATATATATCTATTTTAGTTCCATAGACGAGTAGCAGTTAAGAATGCCAATATGTCCTTTGGAGAGATGTTGCCTAATTCCGTTATATCCGGATAGGCAGTGGATAAGTACCGAAGTCTGAGTCTGTCGAGACCATCACAGGGACGCAAAATATGTTCTGCTGTTTTCTCTTCTTCGCAACAAAGTCCGCAACTATCGTCTCTAGTAATACCTAGGTTCGATAGATGCTTCTTAACTCTGCAATGCTTAGTGAGAAACCCTGTGACAAAGCGGATGTCACTTCTGTTTAACATAAGTTGCTCCCTAGTTCTGGCTTTTGACTGATACGACATGGATTCTGATAGCTTGATTCT